CCAGTGTCGCAAACATCCGAGTTGACAATGTCAAGGTACTATACTGCAGCACCAACCAAGCCCCTCGTTCAAGTGGCAACTAACAAGCATGACCAAACCCCCAGATCATCCGATACAACGAGGACATGCACAATAGCGCCTACATCAAGACCTGGGTCGGAGCACTCGTGCCCCAGGACTCGTATGAGAGCGACTACCTTCCCCGCGGAGGCGGCTGGGGCAGTGTCAAGAATATCATTTTCTCGAACTTTGACGTGCAAGGGGCCAACGCGGGCCCCGCGATCAGCGAGAGCAGTGGGAACAACGGATCATACGCCGGAACGAGCAAGATGCTGATCTCCAACATCGCGTTTGTCAACTTCACGGGTTATATCAACACCACCAAGTCTACGACGTCCTCGGTCTCGTGCTCGAAGCTGTACCCTTGCTACAACATCGAGTACGACAACGTGGTTCTGTACCCACTGAATTCGACTACGCCGGGCAAGGGTTCTTGCTCGTACACGGCTGACGGGGGTGTCCATGGTCTGAGCGGATGCTAGTGTGTCGACCTGCAGCTCTACGGTACTGCTGCTTTGTGCCATTTGTATCGTGGGGGGAAGGGGGGTGTATATATACTTGACGATGCCAATGGTGACAATGAGCCTAGTAGGCCTTGCTATTTAGGGTCGCTCTCAACGATAGGGTCTGTGGCCAATCCATCACTTTCTCGCTTAGGATCATGCTACTATACCCTACATAATCTCTACCTCCGTTGGACTTAATGACACCTTCGAGGCCCCTGCTGTTCCCACAAACCATCATTGCATACGCCAGCCATACACACCCACGAGGTCGGCGACTAGTAGCTAATAGCCAAGCTTTCGCCATGAACCAACGAGCCCCCCGCCAAGACTCAGTGGTGGAGCGAGGATCCTCTATGTTATGAGTCGGGAAGCGACATCATGAGGTACCGCATGACGACAGTTGATGTCAGATCAAAACACAACAAATACAGAAAATTGCGTCATTATCGGCTGCTATGCTCTGGAGAACGGGTAATTGATCTAGCCCTTGGGGAGTGGAAGTCGCAATGCCCCAGCAAAACAAGGTACTTGCCTGCGTAGCAAATGGCAAAAGAAAAGAAAACTCAAAAAGAATGACCTACGCAGGGCTCGAACCTGCAATCTCTTGATTCGTAGTCAAGCGCCTTACCATTGGGCCAGCAGGCCTTGCTGTTAGCAAACTCGACGATAATGTGTTACATACCCCATTTTGAAAGAAGTGCTCATCTCGAGGCAAGATGAATCGAGTACAGCCCAGAATCACAAAAGCTCATCATACTGTAGTTGACATAGACACCGAAATAGAGGCAAGTGCATATTGGAGTTAAGCCAACACTTATCTCGGCATATTTCTCACATGACCTTGCACAGGCCGCGTCTACGCTCTACTGATGGGTAGCGAGCCCGAGATATATCATCTCAGTGGCTACGAGCCCCATTCGGGTCATGGGGCGGCCATGGCTCACGTACAAGAATCCGGACTACTATTAAGACATACTAAACTTTACTAAAAAGCCTACGGTCGACCAGACAGTCACTCAATAACCAGGCTATGAGCAGAACTACCGGCACAAAGCTACGGCTTCCGGACATTGTTTGCCCAAGAGCCGGCCATGCAGGACCTATTATCACTCCCAGTGACATACCCGGCACGTGGATAGTGCTGGGACAGGACTTTTAAAAGCTAGCTTTCAGTAGGCTTCAATTTATTAGAATTTCTACTTTTATTTTTAGTTTTATTTTTTTCTAAGTCCGTTTGTAAAGGAATGATACGTGCTGCAAACCAGACACACCAGAATATCCGCGCCGAGTGTAGCACAGCAAAGCGCCCAGCATGGTGTTCAAGCGTGGATCGCATCGCTCAACCGCCCCTGCCAGTGGACGCAAGCATATGCCCATAGACTCCACAGACCAACGGATGGCTCATCATCGAGTCCTGGGGAACGGCCGGGTGCTTGCTCAGACACAATCCTGCCGACAAAAGTCTTAGACGCGTGAACTGCGTCTACATCCATGAGGGTGTGCAGGAAGGTAACTGTCAAAGGCAGCATCTGTTTTGTACCATGCCCCGGCGAGATAGCACAGTTGCTAAGAACTACAAAAGGCCCTGCTGGCAACACCGTCCATGATTGTTCGTCCACAGAACCAGTGAATATGACAACAAATCATCGAGATATGTCCTTCTCCAATACCGCGACCTATGAAATAAAGGACGCTCGATTTCCATGGCTGTCTAATAAGCACAATATGCAAGAGCAGAAAAGGGTTGACGTAGAGGCCGAGATATATGCGTTCTGTAAATTGTGTAGATTCAGATGTCAAGGCACTATAACGATGCGCAAAGTGAGATGCAAAAATTTTCTGCTTATGTGTGAATTAAGTTAAGATCATGAATTCATTCATCAAAGTTCCCAGGAAATCTTAGAACTCGGTTTTCTACAACAGATCTGTACTGCACGTCCAGATGTGATGCTGTTGTTCGTCAGCCTAACCGCTTGAACCACCGTACATTGACAATGTGGTCTTGGCGGGTAGGCTCCAGAAGTGGCCTAGGAAGAGGGTTCCTTGGCGGCACCAGCCTCACGAACTGCGTTGGCAACACGGGTGGCGAGATCATCGGCCTCGGAACGGCTCGCCGCTTCGGCGTAAACACGCACTGCATCCTCCGTACCACTTGCACGGGCGAAGCTCCTTCCCTTGTTGTATCGGGATTGCAGAGACTCGATCTCAGCCTGAAGGCCGGGTGGTGACTCGAGCTTACGCTCAGCGTCATAAGCCTTGAAGATCGAACGGTCCGCGACCTCGACACGGACAAGACGCGACGGCAAATCGGTGTAAGTCGCGAGCCACTCCTTGGGGCTCCAGCCCTTGTGTGAAAGAATAGCCTCCACGAGGAGCATGTCCGAGATGGCGTCTCCAACAGCCTGGTTAATCAGATCCGTCAAGCCCTGGAGGCACTCGAGCGAGCGCTGCTGAGCAGGAGACTGAGGCTCCGTGTTCTTGATAGTCTTCAAGGCATTCTCGGAGAAGGTGATCGTGCCGTGCCCGTTGGCCTCGAAATAGACACCGACATCGAACCGCAAAGCGGCGTGGTGAAGGTGCTTAACACCGGTGTTCGTGCAAACGGAGGGAAGTTTCAGCACCTTCTCAATGTAATCAGTGCTAGATCCGTTGGCATAAGCAGTCTGCACGACTCCGATCTTAAGTTTCTGTGCGATGCCAGCGCTACGAGCAAGGTCGCCAATGAATGATGCAGCAAGGGTGGCGATGCGATCGCCATCGAGCAACCTGAAGACGTTGCTCTCATCGACGAAGTAGTAAACGATACGGTCAGCATCGCCATCCAGTGAGGCACAGCGCTCGAGAGGACCGGCCTTGGAGGACGGAGGAGCACGTTGCTTCGTCTTGACATAATCGGCGCCACACTGATAGATGGATTAGCCCGAGGCCGGCAACGATGGGGAGGCCCGTGGAAAAATCTTACCTCGAAGTTGAGGCTATCAGGGTTGATGACGTCGTCGTTGACGATCTTGATGTCGAGGCCACCTTCCTCCGCAGTGGGCAGGTACTTGATAAGCTCCCTGAGCTTGGGTCCACCAACACCGTTGGCGCAGTCAACGGTCAAAGAGCCCTTGATCTTAATGCCCCGCATCACTCTCTTGAAAGCCTCGGCAAGTTTCTCATAGTAGCCCTGCTCAGTCGGCTCACCATACTCATACTGTGTACCCAGGGTGTTCTTGCACCGAACGACATAGTGAAGCTGAGGGGTGGTCATGAACTTCAAGTCAAGGAATTCGACTTCCGTAGCGGTAAGTGCGGCGTTGAGAACCGAGACGAGGCGAGAGCCAGACGCGCGAGTGTCGCGGGCGAAAACAACGCGAGCTTGGTTCTCCATGCTGACATCGATCTCTTTAATCAACTCTTCGTACACATCTCCGACCTTGTCGAGCGGGGCGTTGGCAAGTCTGGTCGCATAGGTCTCCCATTCGGCCTGAAAGGATGTGAGATGACATTCTGTCGTGGATCATACTTGGGCTCCTACCTCCAGCATCTCACCCTAGTTAAGTGGTTGAGTCAGTTACTGAGGTTACCGTCAGAGATCACCAATGTAGAGGAACTCACCATAGGGTCGACGAGCTTAACGCCATTGTCCTCTGCAGGATTGTGGCTGGCAGTGACCATGACACCAACCCATTGCCCACTAAGCTTCCTGGAACGAAGACCCGCAAGCAAACCAACAGTGAAAACGACGGTATTGAGGAGGTCGCTGGTAAGGCGTGGGTTAACATGTAAACAAAGGCGCGATCGCGGGGTATTGTGGAGGCGGGGTCGATCGTTCAGGCTGTTGATTGAGCAGCTAGACTTACGCCTTCATACGGAACTGCGAGGAAATGATCGGTCAGATTGTTACAGAATCAAAGTGGCTGATAACACGTAGGAACTTACTCCTGCAGTACCATACTGGAAGATCCTCCCTTCTGGCTTTGCGTACTGAGCAGCCGCTTCAGCGATTGCTTTCTTGACAGCCGGAGACGCCATTTGTGGCGCGAACTAGGTGGGAATGAGGGGGCGGCGACAGATCTCGTGGCAAATGGCGGCTCGGGGCTTTGAAGCAGACAGCGCTATTGTGAAGCAAGTGTAGTGCCAGACAAAAAGGGGAGAAATATCACAAAAAGGAGGAAGGGCAGAGCGAGTGGAGGGATGAGTGGGTTGAGACATAAAACCGGGGCCAGCTCAGGCTACTAAGGTAGTCTAGCTTGCTTCCCTGTATTGCCACAATGCGCCCAAGCGGTGAGCCGCTCACCGATGGCGTGGCTTGGAACAACCCGCCCAGCCGAGGGACACGGGAAGGAAGTTGGAACGGGGAAAAAAAGGTGGAAATTAGAGGCACAGCCAGGAAGCTACATAGAGATGTTTGTATCTACGTAGTAGTTCTCTATCAGCCTTAAGATCGTTGAACATTCTATCAAATATTGCTACAAATCATTCAGACTGTTTGAGGCCACCAGGACCATTTCAAAATTTGACTGCTACTGGCACCAAGCGGAGCCGTCTCCGCAAGCCAGCTTAGAGCTTGAGTCTCTCCCCTGCCACATCATTCTGAATGTCTTTGGTAAGGAAACTAGGACCCGGAGAAGTCAGTATCTCAGCATCCAGCACTTCAATGACTAGGTATAGGGGGCTCGGGACAACTCACAAGTACCACCACGCTGTGGGAATCACTGTCCCAAGGTGCCATAAGCTATGCGCGTCAATGAGCTCATTCCAAGGGGGAAAGTCAAGCAGCTCCAGGCTCATCGCGAAGATAATCCAGACCACAATCAACGCGGGCCAGGTCATCCAAGCTTTACCATACTTCCTATAACGATAAATGCTAAAGGATACCCACAGAACATTCTGAGCCATCCCTATCACGATATTGGCAATCATATTGTAGGTGTAGTCCCAAGACCAGAAGCTCAGGTAGCAGACGTGCAAAGTGTAAAGCAAGATGCAGATAGTTGTCCAGAGACGGCGCAAAGTCGGCTTATGGCGAGGCTCCTCTCCATCGAGACGGAATATCCGAATGATCGCAAGGTACAAACCATACATCACGTTAGCTCCGGCCCCAAAGTAATCCAGCTTTTCAGTCAATGGGAGGTCTCGTGTGTGAAACAAGGCACTAAACGTCCAGCATGCTAATCCACAATATCCGAAAGCCATATAGTACGGCTTGAGTGAGTGCCACGATGGAATAGTTTCTCGGATCTTACCCATTCCATGCCAGTGGGCAAGAAAGTTGAGGAGGGAGAAAAGGACAGAAAAGGGCTCCTGCATGCCGAGGATTCTGCGAAACGGCCATTTTCCGTGAAATTGTAGTACTGGATTTAACATCGGAGGATCGCGAGCGACACGGCGATCTGTCACGACATGTTGGCAGGTATAATCGCACTCGGAAGGACACGTCCACAGCATGAGACGAAGATGGAGAGCTGGTAACGAATTAGTCGGAATAATTATGGTCGGCGAATCTGTGTGAAGCTTACGGATCACCGAGTTGCCATCGTGACAGTTTTCAGCCTTGCAGACCTGGCCATATATTAGCTATCGCATTGCATCTGCACAGCTCTAGCTAGTTTGGTTCAGTTACCTTAACGCATTCCTTGAAATCAGGAAGGTGATCGCCCAGAGACGCTGCCGATTTGCCAATCAGAGAAGCAAAAAAGAGAATGAGAAAGCAGCAATAGAGCTTTCTCCTGGTTGAGCCTAGAAACATAGTGATCTCTGAGTTCTTGTAGCACAACCGGCAGAAAGGTGAGTTCAGGGAGGTAGACCCTTAGAAGAAGCTAGGCGGCGCGTGGCAGCAGCGGGGGCGGAGTGGCTTCGCGCGGCAATAAATAATAGGGAGCTCGGCATTTCCGGTCCCAGGTCTAGAAATAGCATGGAAGCATGATCGAAGAATGGATCCTCAAAATCCAGGAAGCCACCATAAAACACCGAAGAATCATGCTGGAGACGGAGCATATGTATCTTTAACTTCTGCTTGGAGCGCTGATGGGCTGTTCCCGTAGCCACGAAAAGTGACCGCAGCACATAAGTTAGTCTTTGGCTATCTAAAACTGGCCAAAAAGTTTATGTTGTACTACAGTAGGATTGCCAAGTACAATAGAAGCTGCTTTGAAGAATTATAATTGCAATTCAATTGCGACCATGGCTCAATTGAGTTGTCCATATCCAAATTTGATTGGCAGACCGAAATACCTTACATGTCCGCCGCGGGCGTCCTTGGAACTTGGAACTCCAAGTCACTTACCATTCTGATCTGCTCCTAGCCCTAATCACTGCTTAGGGCTAAGTCAAATCACATGCCGATAGACTACATTCAGCATAGTCTATCTCATCAGTGGTCTAAACCATATTGGGTCTTAGCGTATGTTGCCTTCCAGAGGAGAAATTCCCAATGAGGGCAAAGGCCAAAAAAAAAGGCGGCCGCTCGAAGGGTTCGCTGAAGTGCTTTGTACTTTTTCACTTCTGCATATTGTTTTATCATCAGCTAAACTTGTCGATATTTTCTTCTCATTTCGCTTGTGATTTAGGTCCCTGGATCTGCGATATCTTGCAAAGCAATTTTCCAGTCTAGTTCACCCATAAGCAACCGACTGATTTGCTATCATGGCCGGAGTTGAGAAACAACAGTCCAGCAGTGCTGATCGCATGGTTGGCATGGACCATGCTGAAGTTCGTTATTTCACGAGGTACATCTAATCCCAGTGACTGACCTCGATATTGTGCTAATTATGCCTTAGTTATGATCACCATGGTAAATAATCCCAAGCACAGAACTTCACCTAGTCTCGGAGATGGCTAACGTCAAACCCCGCTCAGGCATTCACGAGGAGATGCTTGTAAGTCCGCCGCACACAGCCCCTTGCAATAGCCTATTAACATTTCATTCTTAACAGAAAGACGATGTCCGCACCAGATCTTACCGCGACTCCATTTACCAGAACCGCCACATTTTCAAGGACAAGGTTGTTCTCGATGTCGGCTGCGGTACCGGTATTCTTAGCATGTAGGTGCCTGACTCCGTTACATGCATTATTATTGGATATTGATGTTGTCGGTTTCCTAGGTTCGCTGCGAAGGCCGGTGCTAAACATGTGATGGGTGTTGATATGTCCTCGATCATCGAGAAGGCCCGTGAGATCGTTGAGGTCAACGGCCTGACCAGCAAGATCACTCTTCTGCAGGGAAAGATGGAGGAGGTTGTCCTGCCCTACCCGAAGGTTGACATTATCATTTCGGAGTGGATGGGCTACTTCCTCCTCTACGAATCCATGCTGGACACTGTCCTCTATGCCCGCGACCGCTACCTCGTTCCCGGTGGCAAGATCTTCCCTGATAAGGCTACCATGTACTTGGCCGCCATTGAAGATGGCGAGTACAAGGATGATAAGATTGGATGTGAGAGAAACCATTGCGTCAAGTTCAAACCGTCGCTAATGAGAACTAGTCTGGGACAACGTCTATGGCTTCGATTACAGCCCCATGAAGGAGACTGCCCTCACTGAGCCTCTTGTGGATACAGTTGAGATGAAGGCACTTGTCTCTGACCCTTGTCCCATCATTTCATTCGATCTTTACACCGTCACCAAGGAAGATCTTGCATTCAAGGTACCCTACTCGCTCACTGTCAAGCGTAGCGATTTCGTCCACGCTGTTATCGCCTGGTTCGATATTGAATTCGGTGCTTGCCACAAGCCCATCCTTTTCTCTACTGGCCCCCATGCCAAGTACACCCACTGGAAGCAGACCGTTTTCTATCTGCGGGATGTTCTCACTGTTGAGGAAGAGGAAGTTGTGTCTGGTATGCTAGAGAACAAGCCCAATGACAAGAACAAGCGCGACCTTGATATCAGCATCACCTACAAGCTGGAGACTACGGACCCGAACCGCTCCGCCGAGGGTGGCTGCTTCTACAGAATGTAAGTGCATCCACCAGTCATCGTCATCGAGTCAATCAGGAAGCTAATTCTTGAAGGTGCTAAACTGAGGCGTTGAAATCCTCATCACCAAATTGATCCATCACTGGGTCGGTACACTGATCTCTCTGACTGAATTCCCTGTCTTGGAATTCAGTCAGTACCCTCGATACTATTTACCCGAGGGTTGCATGGCATTTGAAGGAAAGTACACTTGCATGACGTTGGGTCGATGAATAGGTTTTCTTGACTTGCTTTGTTTGTTCATGCCATTTCATTTCCGTTATGTTCCGGCGTTTTATTGGAAGGCAGGAAACGGCATCATTATCTGGCGCGACACGGAGAGATGGTTTCCACAAGGACGATTATGAAGCTCCTCGAAATTCCCAAGTAGATACCCCGAGTCGATGCTCAATCTTATCATCTCTTAACGATCTCCTTATATTGTTTAGCTTCAGCCCCATCACTCTGGGTGCCCCCGAGGCTTTACGGGCAAAACATTGACAGATGTTGTAATACTTTGTATACTTCTCTCTGAGCCTTGAACCAGTATGATACCTGTGTTGATTTGGCTGGCCCATTCAAAGCGGCATGGCGCTCTCGGTCCAGATTACATTAGCCTCGGCTTGTTTGCGGCCCCGCAGTCCGGGGTACAAAAGCACAGCATATCGTCCCAGACTCTTGTAAAAACCATCCTGCATTATCCATTACCCATTACCCAAGTAGCTCAACTTCGCTTTTAGAAAGATCGCAGAGCGCACTAGATACAGTCTTCCACCATTCCGTCCAAATAGCACACATACGCACGCGATTATCTACATCGTCACTAGCTGAGATGTCTGCTCCCGGGGCTGGTCATGAGTTTGCTCCCCAGGAAGTCTCCTGGCAGAAGCGCGATATTCTCCTGTTTGCTAACAGCATTGGCTGCAAAGCTGATGAGCTTCACTTTCTTTACGTATGTTGTATTGTCTGCACAAGGCCCCATTGCAACGTGTGCTAAAAAAAAGCGCGGCGCAGGAACTACACCCCAGATTCGCGGTCTTTCCAACCTACCCGGTTATCCTTCGTATGTGCGAGCCTCTCAGCTCATATCTCAACGGCCACTGATGCATTTTACTTCATACAGCATTTAAGCTCACCGATCAGGAAGTGGTTGACTTCTATGCTCGGGCAGGCGGTGCCCCTATCCCCGGAGCCCCCAAGCTCGACTACCGCCGTGTCGTGGATGGTCAGCGGCGAATCATCGCCCTGAAGCCTCTTCCAACATCCAGCGCAGGTCGAAAATTCGAGTTGCGCAACAAAGTCATTGGACTTTATGACAAGGGCAAGGCCGGGACTGTGCTGGAGACAGAACAGTCGATTGTCGACCAGGCCACTGGAGACATCTTCACGAAGATCCTGAGCAGCAGCTTCTTTGTCGGACAGGGCGGCTGGGGAGGTCCAAAGGGTAGGTGCTGTGTCTGGTCTTAGGACCAAACCCATGAAGGCTGCCTAACTTGTTTTGTTATAGGCCCAAGCACGGTGAATTACCCTCCTCCGGAGGGTAAAAGTCCCGACGCCACCCATGTAATCCAGACGACGCCCGAAACGGCTCTCTTATATCGGTAAGATCTCTGGATACCTCTACGACTTGGATTCTCCGATGAAGTTCTAACACACTGGATAGTCTCAATGGTGATTATAATCCTCTCCATGCAACTCCCGAGCCGGGTGCGAAGATGGGTTTCGGTGGTACCATCATCCATGGACTCTTCAGCTGGAACGCCGCAGCCCATGGTGTATTGAGAGAAATTGGACAGAGCGACCCAAAAAACCTGAAAGAGTTCCAAGCGCGCTTTGCCTCTCCGGTAAAACCAGGCGACAAACTTACTACTGAGATATGGCGGATGGGCAGGTTGGAAGGCGGCGATGAAGAGATTCGTTTTATTGTGAGAAACGACCAGGGTAAGGTGGTACTCAGCAATGGCCGTTGTCTGTTGAAAGCTACCGACTCGAAAACCAAGCTGTAGTTGCAGTTCCATAGGCTAACTAGAAAAAAACCTTTATATCACATGTGTAGATTGTCAGATCGCGAATTGGTATACGTCGCAAGCACATATGAGTACGACCCAATCTAGAAGTTCAAATTAGCTACTAGGTACGTAGAATCAGAGTCTCGAATGTGTTAAGCATAAATTAGAGCAACAGCTTGAAGGTGGGCCGATTTGCGGGGTGGGCGCTGCTACCTCGGTTTCTGGTCCTCACACGTGACATGGAACTTCGGTCGTCCACTGATTTTTGGGCATATAGAGATTGAGATCCTCCGTTATGCGATACGGAAAAGCATTGTTTGGGCTGCGTTTCTGATGCCACAGCAGTTGAGATGAGTGCTGTAGGAAGGCGATTTGTTTGTCGGGCGCTCGCCCCTTCAAGTCCTTTCAGGTAAAGATCATACTCCGAGCTGCCACAACGAATGCTCATGATCGATATAGGAGGGCGAATGTGGTGCCTTGCTCTCGTTGGACTTGCGCTGTTCCGGTGTGTATCTTCGCCTGGGTTCGACTGGTAATTGAACCAGTTCATTTAAGCTGAATTTCTTTTCCGCAGAGCATAAGACCCCTTTTTACAGGACAATGTAACACATTCCCTCCCGAGCGCCACACCATGGGCCTTGATATCACCAGCAACTGGAAGCTGATGCAACCACCATTTTAGCCCGGACAAAGAACAAGACAACCAAACACGACCCCGAATCAGCTCAGCGGTTCTCAAAAAATGTCTTCAAGAAATTGTAAGCAATATTCACGGGCACTATCAGCTGCCTTCCATACGCATGAATGGCTGAGACAGCTAACACTGTTTTGCAGAGGACCATTCTGGCTACGGTAAGTCGCTTTATGGCCAATGCCCATCGCATTGAGACTTATATTTCGGGTATTGCTCCATGATAGAGACAATTGTCAGTGTGAAAGATGCCATCATCCTCAAACCCGACAGCGGGAGGTAGACACTTTTGCGGTATGTGCGCAAATTTCGAACATGCGAAGTATTCTGCTAATATGTGCCCTCTTGCTTCTGCTATTCCCCAGATTCCTCCAGATATAAGAATCAAGAAAGTCGTCTATGCAGGGGAATGCCTTAAACTGAAATGTAAGTGTATATTCGATGTCTCTCAAGTCATGTCGAGGCTTAAATTCAAGAAGTTTCGGATGGACATACGGGGTTCTACACATATCCATGGCTCAAAGCCAATGGTACTAAAGTACCGAGCAGTGTGCTTCGAGCCGATCATTCAGCCAAACCCAGGTACTACAAACACGGATGATGCATGCTGCAATTGGAACTCACCAAACATGTTCATAGGCCTTATCATCCATTCACGGGAACGGGGCCATATCCCACGGTGGTATATGACGATGTTATGCAGGATGACAAGGGCTTGTTGCAGTGGCTTGATAAGATTGTGAGTCCCGCCCCCGCTCCACAATCTGCTACCTGATCACTGAGTCTGGATAGTATATCTACGGGTTCTGTTTCGTCATAGGTGTTCCTGTGACAACTCGGGACACTGAGAAGCTTCTCGAGAGAATCGCTTTCATCAGGCCTACACATTATGGTATGAAAACAATGTTATATGCACTTACAGTAACTCTTGATCCACGATAATGCTGATCCATTCATTCCAGGGGGTTTCTGGGATTTCACATCTGATATGAGTTTCGGGGACTCTGCGTATACAAGCCAAGGTCTCGGCGCACACACTGATACCACATACTTTACGGATCCTGCGAGACTCCAATTATTCCACCTTTTGTCTCATACCGACGGCACAGGGGGAGCTAGCCTGCTCGTTGATGGGTTTCGAGCAGCCGAGACGCTGCAGAGGGAGACAAAGGGGCACTACGCCGCTTTGATGCGCCATAGCCAGCCTGCTCATGCCAGTGGCAACGAGAATGTCTGCATACAGCCTATACACGAATTTCCGGTGCTCGAAGTCCACCCGCAGTTAGACCAGCTGTACCGGATCCGTTGGAACAATTACGACAGAGCACCGAAGACGAATTGGGGGATCAAAGACGTGAAGCAGTGGTACACTGCGGCGCGACACTGGAACGAGATTATCAGCCGCGAGAAATTCCAGATCTGGACACAACTCGAACCGGGAACCGCTCTAAGTAAGTATCAAGTAGTTGATCCATGGTGCTGTTTGGAGACTCCTAGCTGACCGGCTGAAAGTCTTCGATAATTGGAGAATGCTCCACGGGCGTTCAGAATTTACCGGAAAGCGGAGAATGTGTGGTGGTTATAGTAAGTGCTCGTGCTTCGCTGGCTGCTACATACCGTCTTTGGTCTGAGGTTCGAGTACGTTTGCTGACTCATTATAGTCAATAATGACGATTTTCTCTCTCAATATCGTCTTCTCAAGTTCGGCCGAGAACACGTCCTCAACAGTCTTGGTAATTGGCATGGTCAACGCCTCAAAGAAGCCAACCCGAATTTCCTGATATAACAGGCCTGCGAATTCTGGTCATGCTCAGATACTGTACCTAGACCATGCGTGGATGATGTGTTCATAGCAAGCGATAGTGGATGAGCGAGGGAAAGCATGCTCCGTTGCGGTGGCGAGTGAGAGTGCAAAGCAGTAGACGCAATGCTTTAAGTGTGGTCAGGAGTCTCCTCTACCCACTGTGGGTGAAGCTGGCATGTAGGGTGTGAATCGAAAGATAATCGCCATTGTATACCACAAGTGAAGGACCAGATACTCTACATCAATAGCACTAGATTACATGAGAAACGGAGTCATTACCTAGCAGTCGGAGGCCGGGTCATTTGTAATAGGGTCACGTGACATAGACAGGACGGCTGACGTTGTTTGGCCGAAGCTCAGAGCAAGCCGGCTCCAACGCAGCTCTCAGTTCCCCATCTCTCCCATTCTCACTCTCCCTTTGCCTGCTTTCTCCCCATATACCTACCGAGTTGGCCTAAACATAATTTATTCTGTCATTGTAATTCCCATCTAATCCTGCCACCATGTCTACCTTGGAAGACCTTGACGACCTCGAGCGTGAAGAGAGAGAGAAGAAGAAGGACCAGGGCGATGGCAACGACCGAAAGCCCGAAGGCGACGGAGATGCTGATATGAACGATGCTGATGTCAAGAAGAAAGAGGAGGAGGATGAACTTCTCGATGATGAGATTCTCTCTTCCAGCACAGCGGATATCGTCAAGAGGCGGCGAATGCTGGAGAACGAACTGCGTATAATGAAGAGCGAATACCAGCGGTTGACACATGAGCAGAACACGATGAGGGAGAAGGTCAAAGACAACCAAGAGAAGATCGAGAACAACCGGTATGTTGCAGTCTACGTCGCTATGGGTTCGCCTACTGTGTGCGCCGACTCGTGGCGATGGCGGTTCCCTACCCAGGCCTTCTTGCTGACCACAATTCATCTCTCAGGCAACTACCCTACCTTGTCGGAAACGTTGTTGAGCTCTTAGATCTTGATGTCGAAGCTGAAGCCGCCGAGGAAGGAGCTAATATTGATCTCGATGCTACCCGTGTCGGCAAGTCCGCTGTCATTAAGACCTCTACCCGTCAAACCATCTATCTGCCGTTGATCGGTCTTGTGGATCACGAGAAGCTCAAGCCCGGCGATCTCATCGGTGTTAACAAAGACTCATACCTTGTCTTGGACACACTACCAGCTGAGTATGACAACCGGGTCAAGGCCATGGAGGTTGACGAGAAGCCGACGGAGAAGTACACGGACATTGGTGGTTTGGACAAGCAGATTGAGGAGATTGTCGAGGCTATCGTTTGGCCAATGAAGGAAGCCGATCGGTTCAAGAAGCTTGGCATCAAGGCACCGAAGGGTATGTGATTTGTGTGAAATCTGGAGGGCTGGAAGTTATGCCGTACTAACTTGGTTCCAGGTGCTCTGATGTACGGACCCCCCGGTACCGGTAAAACCCTTCTTGCCCGAGCCTGCGCCGCCGAGACGAATGCCACATTCTTGAAGCTTGCCGGTCCTCAGCTGGTACAGATGTTCATCGGTGACGGTGCTAAGCTTGTTCGCGACTGCTTCGCCCTTGCTAAGGAGAAGGCCCCCTCGATCATTTTCATTGACGAGCTGGATGCCGTTGGTACCAAGCGTTTCGACTCCGAGAAGTCCGGCGACCGTGAAGTGCAACGAACCATGTTGGAGCTTCTCAACCAGCTCGACGGTTTTGCCTCCGATGATCGTATCAAGGTCCTCGCGGCCACGAACCGCATTGATGTGCTGGATCCGGCCTTGCTCCGTTCCGGTCGCCTGGACCGCAAGATCGAGTTCCCCCTGCCTAACGAGGAAGCTCGCGCCAACATTCTACAGATCCATTCCCGCAAAATGGCCGTGGATGATGGGGTCAACTGGGCGGAACTGGCTCGCAGTACCGATGAATTCGGAGGTGCGCAGTTGAAGGCTGTATGTGTGGAAGCTGGTATGATTGCTCTTCGTAAGGGCATGAGTAAGGTGGGACACGAGAACTATGTCGATGCCATCTCGGAAGTACAGGCGAAGAAGAAGGACACCAACATGGGCATCTATGTTTAAGAATATCTTATCTTTTTGCGTCACGATAAATTCCACGATGTTTCTTCACCTCTTGTAATCTGCCCCAGTAATTACTACGTGATGGTCTCCTTTTCATCAAAGCAGGGCGCTAATCATACGAAGCAAAGATTGCCATTACCAAGCAGCGTCGTCACCACACGCCTTTGTTTAATTCGTAATAGTCACTCACGCTTCAACCTTTCTTGTCTATCTCAACTGGAGAGTGTGTTCCTCTATAAAGCATGTTCTCATCCTCGTTGCATTCTTCCTTGTCGGGGTCCTTCACAGCACTATCCACCCCTGTGTCCCAGCGATATCACCAGGCGGTATCAAAAGGCCAAGATGGACCGGACTGCGGTCGAAATCGCAGTTATTTCGTTCGGGGGTTTGTTCATCAACACACATAGACTAATAGACGTTCTGGACTAAGGCAAGCTTGATGATACTGGGCGCCGCAAAATCATTGATCCGGGCTCCTCCGCGGCTTTGCTCCGCCTTTAGTTTTTCTGCGGGTCAAGAAAAAGTCCTACTTTCGATCCAGACATCCGGGGATTAAGATCCATCCTTAGTGATTATTTCCCCCGTAAATCTCATTTCACATCATTTTTCACCATGGCGAAGGCACGCACCAAGAAGCGCACCCATGTTCGCGCGACAAATGCCACGGCTGCTGCCAAAGGCGGCGCCTCGTCTATGAGCAAAACTCCCAAGTCGATGGTCATTCGAGTTGGCGCTACACAGGTCGGCTCCAGCGTCAGCCAGCTGGTCAAAGATGTGCGGACGATGCTTGAGCCCGATACGGCTGTGCGCTTGAAGGTACGTTAACAATCGGTCGACTTTTCGCAGACGATGGCCAGCAGACATTGTACAAGATCGACTTCCTTTTGTTTTTTCTTGCTAATTGTCACCAGGAACGCAAATCGAACAGACTTCGGGATTTCACAACAATGACCGGCCCTCTGGGCGTGACCCATCTTCTTCTTTTCTCCAAATCTGCCACGGGCAACACGAATCTGCGGTTGGCGCTCACCCCCCGAGGGCCGACCCTGCATTTCAAGGTGGAGAACTACTCTCTGTGCAGAGACGTTGAGAAGTCGTTGAAGCGCCCGCGCGGCGGTGGCCAGGACCACAAGACGCCTCCGCTGCTCGTGATGAACAACTTTAACTCCCCCGGCGCAGACGAGAACTCCAAAGTACCCAAGCGTCTCGAGAGCCTGACCACGACCATTTTCCAATCGCTCTTCCCTCCGATCAACCCCCAAGCTACCCCTCTCACCTCCATCCGTCGCGTCATGCTCCTGAACCGTGAGCTCGCTCCCGAAGGCGAAGAACAGGACTCCTATGTCCTCAATCTCAGACACTATGCCATCACGACGAAGAAGACCGGTATCTCGAAGCGTATCCGTCGTCTCGATCCCAAGGAAATTCGGAACAAGGAGAAGAAGAAGACCGCTGTGCCGAATCTCGGAAAGCTCGAGGATGCCGCAGACTATCTGCTCGATCCCTCGGCGGCGGGCTACACGTCTGCTAGTGAAACTGAAATGGATACGGATGCGGAGGTGGAGATCGCAGAGAGCACCACTCGGAAGGTTCTCACGAAACGTGAACTGCAGCGGATGAAGGCTGGCGACAAGGAGAAGGCACAGAAGAAGTTGAGCAATGGCCCCGGGGTCGAGAAGCGGGCGGTCAAGCTGGTTGAGCTGGGCCCGCGCATGAAGCTCCGGTTGCAGAAGGTTGAGGAGGGCTTGTGTGAGGGCAGAGTCATGTGGCACGATTTCATCTCGAAGTCTGAGGAGGAAGTCAACAAGCTGGACAAGAGCTGGGATAAGAAGAAGAAGGAGAAGGAGGAGAGAAAGAAGCAACAGCGGGAGAACATTGAGAAGAAGAAGGCCGAGAAGGCTAAAGCCAAGGCCAATGGCAAGGAGGTTGAAGATGATGATGACGAGGACGTTGACATGAGCGACGAAGACTGGCTCAGCGACGATTTCGACGAGGATGATGAGAATGTGGTGCAGGATGAGGATGACGAGGAAGAAGAAGAGGAGGAGGAGGAGGGAGAAGAGGAGGATGGTGACGAGTCTATGGATGAGTAAATTTCCTTTGCCATCCATAAATACGATGTTCTTTGAGTCGTCAGCCATCACGAATATTGGCTGCCACACGGCGCTTCCAGGCTTGCCAGTCCCTTTCACACCCTGACCTTCACCATGCTGGATAGCTTCCAACACGTCTGCGACGTGCCAATGATCCCATGCAAACAATTCCAGCGCATTGCATCATGTCAAATGCTCATGGCCATGCCCCTAGTATGGTGCACATGAGTTGTTATACATTATGCAGATTTCGATGCATGTGGTCGATGTGATGGAGAAACGGAACAGTTGATGGGAAGGAACTCAATTCGTTCGTACATCGAACGCCAGTATTACTATTCATTATTTGTTTGATGGAAAGGAAAAAGTTATGTACCCTATGGTTCGTTAGGAGTTTCAAAATTATACCCACGATTTCTGGTTGCACATGGAGCAGCAAGAGCCCTGGACGAAGTCAAAACAAAGCATTATCATCTTCCTTAGTATCATCAAAAACTACGTAAAGCTCATAACCCATCATCGATACAACAGGAACTTCTCTTTTTCTTTTATGCGTTCATATCATCGAAAGGAAATCTACCGCTTCAACTTCTCATCCACAATCCTCGACACCATCTTCTCCAGCATGCTGAAATCGCCGCCCGCCGACGCAGCCGACCCAGCAAAGTACGCCTGCACGCTCTTCTCCACGTACTTGCCGACGATATCGATCTCGACGTTGACGTAGTCGCCGGGCTTCTTGGCCGCCGTGACGATCTTCTCCTGGGTGTACGCGATGAGCATGACCTCGAAGTAGCCCTCGGCGCCATCCACGACCTTGGTGACCGTCAGGCTGGCGCCGTCCAGCGTGACGTAGCCCTTCTCGACGATGTAGCGCATGACCCCCTGGTCGCGCGGCTTGAAGCGGAACACGAGCGCGTTGCTGTCCGGCGTGACCGAGAGGATCTGCGCGATCGTGTCGACGTGGCCCTGCACGAAGTGCCCACCCATCCGCGTCTCGCCCAGCACCGCCCGCTCCAGGTTCACCTTCGACCCCGTCTGCAGGGCGCCCAGGTTCGTGCGGCGCAGGGTCTCCGGCGCGACGCCCACCTTGAACCACGTCTTGTCGAAGGCGGTCACTGTGAGGCATGTTCCTGTTTTTTTTTTAAGAGGGGGTTTCGTGTGAGTCTAGTTTTGTTCTGTGCGGTTTTTGTGCGTTGATGTGTTCAATGCCCCGCGGTGGGGGGAAGGGGGATTGCGACCAGCTAGGACGGTGGGAGGGTGGGGGAGGTGTGTGACGGAGAGAAGAGGGGAACGGGGAGGAAGAGGGATTCGCAAAGGTGTATGTTCGGTGACGATGATGACGGTGGAAAAAGGGGTGGAGGTGGTTATGTACCATTGACAGCTATGCTATCGCCGAGATGCGCATCGACGAGGATGTCCTCACAATCGGTAATGGTCAGCGAGGTTCCCCCGCCCCCGCTTGACGAGGTATCGAGGGGCTCGAGGGACGAGACCGCTAAGAAGCAAGGGCACCATGGTCAGTCATAGAACGGGCAGTACAGTAGACAGGCAGAAACTGACTTCCAATCTTCTCAACAAGACCCGTAAACATGGTGACAGAATGGCAGGGAGTAGACAAACCGAAGCCGGCGGGCGGATCGAGCGGAATTGAAGATCACAGAGAGAAAGTCGCGAAGCGGGAGGAAAGCGGGTTGACCTCGGCTTGGGGGCCGATCCCGCGCCGCCGCTCGGTCATGGCGGCCGATAAGTTAGTTGGAAGCTGTACTGTACACAGTGCTTGTTCGGTTCCTTGCTTCTGTTCGCCTTTTTATTCTTCCAAGATTGTTGACGACGTATATTTTGCTTTTCAAACTGTTATCTCCTTATTCGACCATTGAGAATGAATCCGATAATCTCCTCGAAGGTGCCGCGAGCCTTCATTGCGCGCCGGCCGCTCAACCATACATACCTCTATCTATCAAGGAGCAACCGATCATGGCGCACTTACTCTACTGCACTTTCAGATGATACCCTGCCTTTGAAAGGCATTAGGGTTCTAGATATGACGAGAGTTCTGGCTGGTGTGAGTATCATACAATTGACCTTCCACAGGCTTGTGTTGACATCTCATGCAGCCATACTGTACACAAATCCTGGGAGACCTGGGGTATGCTGCCGCTGCTTTCAGTGCTTCACGCCACATACAATACTGACCATATCTGGTCTTCTACAGAGCAGACGTTATTAAGGTAGAACACCCAACACGCGGCGATGACACTCGTGCTTGGGGACCACCATACGCCAAGTACACTGACGGGTCAGAAGGGCCCGGAGAGAGCGCTTACTACTTGGGAGTAAGTCACCCATCAGAAGAAATGCCTAGATGTCAAGCAATTAACATCTGGCTCAGGTGAACCGCAACAAGAAATCCATCGGCTTATCCTTTGCTCATAAATCCGGAGTGAAGATTCTACATCGTCTTGCAAAAGAGTGCGACGTGTTGGTGGAGAACTATCTTCCTGGCAGCCTTAAGAAGTACAACATGGATTACGAGACCCTAAAAGCTATCAACCCCCGACTCATCTACGCTAGTATCACAGGCTACGGCCAGACTGGGCCGTACAGCAACCGCGCCGGGTACGATGTCATGGTCGAGGCCGAGATGGGCCTGATGCACATCACTGGTAGTAGGGAGGGGGAGCCGGTGAAGGTCGGTGTAGCTGTGACGGATTTAACCACTGGTCTTTACACGTCTAATGCCATCATGGCGGCATTGATTGCTCGCGGGCGGACGGGGAAGGGGCAGCATATCGATGCATGCTTGAGCGATTGTCAGGTCGCGACTTTGGCGAACATTGCAAGCTCGGCGCTGATCAGTGGGAAGAAGGACTCTGGCCGGTGGGGGACGGCACACCGTAAGTGTTCGCCGCAAAGTAGTGCTACCTGAATCGTGCGGTCTTACTGATCCCCGCATTGCAAAGCATCCATTGTGCCCTACCGAAGTTACGAAACGCGTGACGGCGATATCCTCTTTGGGGGCGGGAACGACAGATTGTTCGGCGTGTTATGCGATCGGCTCGGCTGTCCGGAATGGAAGACCGATCCCCGGTTTGTTACCAATAGCGACCGAGTGAAACACCGAGAGGAGATTGATGGGTTGATTCAGCAAAGAGTGAGACAAAAGACGACGCAGGAATGGCTGGAGATATTGGAAGGAAGCGGGATGCCGTATGCCGCTGTCAACGACATCCAAGGAACACTAAATCATGCTCACGGTGAGACCATTTTCTCCCAAGCGCTTGTTCGCCTTGAATGACAACTCTGACTCTGGGATATAGTCCAAGCACGAGGTATGGTCACTGAAGTTGATCATCCAGCCTGCGGACCCATCAAGCTGGTGAACACACCGATCAAATATTCTCATGCAACCCCTGGTGTTCGTACGCCGCCTCCGACTCTAGGGCAGCACACTGACGAGATTCTGGCCGAAGTACTCGAGTATGGTAAGGAGGAAATAGCTCAGTTGAAGCAGGCAGGTGTAGTGGCATAGACGTGTTTTGAAATTAAGACAAACCCTCGTTGGGCCAGTGGTGAATTACCCTAAGGTGATAAGGGAGGAGTAAGTGTGTGTGGTCCGTAAGGAGGGTTCGCCTCTAGAATACATGGTTAGTTTTCGCGCAGCTGTCGGCTGAGCCGCATTGAGATGTAGCTTCGCAAAGCCTTAGAGATGCAAAACACAGTCAGATGCTAATGCCTTCAAAACGACCTGATGGCTGGAGATATTGCAGGCATTGCATCACAAAATATGGGTTGGCAACGAATGCAGTCAGTCGGTGCCTTCCAAGGGCGCGGGGATGAATTCCTAGCGATCACGTGATAATATATAAATCTGGATCCGTTCATGATGGCCTTTTCATATTTCACCCGTGGCAGCATTGATACATATCTCGGGCTCATCAAAGAGCACCTTGCCGTTGCAGCGTGAGTGTGCTCGACAGGGCAGATCCGGGGGGATATGTCACAGCAAAATGGGGGTTCTGCATCCCTGGCGTCTGTAGAGACAGCGCCACCCACCCACGCATTTCTGCGCACTACCACTACCACTACTTCGGGTACGCATTCATCAGCGCCCTCACTCCAGCCTATCGCTGATTCATCCTCAGCATTGTCCTCGTCGAACACGACCCGATCCTCGAGTACGCCTTCGAGAAGGGTGGAGATACCGCCTCTTTCAGCGGCCACAACCGAGTTACTCGCACGAGTCAATGGAAGTCTAAAGGCCACACAGCAGAGATATGGTAACAAATCCATCGGTTGGAACCCTCCAACTGGAAATCGATTTGTTGGAAACAACTTGAACGGTCCTCGCACAGGCACTATGAGGGCCTCTTCAATTATCATCGAATTGCCTACGGCACCATTCACGTATGCGAACAATGGGGGGGCACCTGCGGCTTCCTCGAGTACTGTTACCCGCAGATCTCCTGTGGATCTTCCTAGGAGCCCGAACAATATTACACCTAAACCATCACCAGTGCCTCCACCTGCGGCTTCCCCAAGTATTGCTACCCGGAGATCTCCTATGGATCTTCCTAGGGGCCCGATCAATATTGCACCGAAACCATCACCAGTGCCTCTACCTGCGGCTTCCCCAAGTACTGCTACCCGGAAATCCCCTGTGGATCCTCCTGGGGGCCTGATTAGTATTGCATCGAGACCATCACCAGTGCCTCCAACTGCACCAACAGATGGAATACCTGAAGTATCATCCAATGGCCCTGTATTAGCGCCGCCGCCGCCGCCAGCAGCAGCAGCAGCACCACCACCACCACCGGCGGTGGCATCTTTACCACCATTACAGCCTCGGACAACCGTCTCGAATGCCAAACCATTATCTACAGCAAGCTCAATCTCTAAGTCTAAAAGGCCCACGACAGGAGGCTCCCGTAACAGGAAGAGTATCACGAATGGAACCAAGAACAAGAAGCGCCGCCGCAACAAGGACAGTGACGAAGAGAGCGTCATCCGGGCCGGTGATTCCAGCAGCGACGAATCCGATGTTGCCCCGACAGCAACCCAGACAAAGTCTGGCCGACAGGTCAACCGACCCTCCTTGTATGTGCCTCCGCCTTCGTTGCCGGCTGCTGCCAAAGAGACAAGCAACTCACTTGAGACGTCGGACAACACGCGTGGTTCCACGGCGGCAACAACTCGGAAACGTAAGCGCGTTCAACGCAAAGCGAAGGATGGTAACATCACTTGTACCCGATGCCAGAGGGGCCATAGCCCTCTGACCAACGCGATTGTTTTCTGCGATGAATGCAATGGGGCCTGGCACCAATTATGCCACGATCCTCCCATCAGCGTGGAGGTTGTCACCGTCCAAGAGAAAGAATGGTTCTGTGGGGAATGCAAGCCTGTGCCGATTACCATTGTTCAGCCAACAGTTGTCAGGAGCAATCCGTTCCTTGCGAAAACACAGCCAACCCCTATTTCGACTTCTTCCTTGATAGTCCCTCGAGCTGAGGTAAGCGCGGGGGGCTACTCGGTCGAAGAACGCCGAGGGTTTCTATCGGGCTTGTCGCATGCAACACTTGTTGAGCTTCTTATGAACATATCGGAAGGTAATCGAAACCTGCCAATGTTCCCCGCTAATCTGAAGGACTACCAGTCATCAAACTTCTCAGCCCGTCCTAGCTCGTCAGCCGTGACGAGTACTTCTACTTCCGATCAAGGAACTGTTCTGCAGACAAATGGCCTGGGGGCCTCTGCGGCCACCTCGGCGGAAGAATCAGCTAGACCACCAACCGCATCTGCACCGGATGTCTCGACTACTTCATCTCACCGAAGGAGATACGAAGAGTCTTCTGATGAAGAGCCAGAGTATGAGTTTCAAGAGCATCGTCTATATCCACGCGCCGGCAACGGTTTCCGGCTGCCTGTTGGGCTGGATGACTTGGACATCCTCAGCGAGGATCCTGCTTGTTCAACGTTCAGCTATTCGTTGCATGGGCCTGCTCAAATCCGCGCTCAAATGAAACAGAAAGTGCCAATATGGGGCTCGTGAATATGGCTTCTATGTGTATTACTATCATTAGGCCTTTCATCCTTCGCCTTCTGTGTACGATCAATATTCTCTGATAGATATTCTAGATTTGTTCTTCCGTTGGGAACGAGACTTTGGGAATAGAGTGCGTGCAATTCACTCAATGCGCCCCGATTTATGATGATCAGACTTCGTTGGTGCTTGTCTTCGCTCTTCGCTCTTACAAGATGCCTCGTTTTTCTACTTAAAGTGAGGCGAGTTCCTTCCTGCAGGATCTCCAGCGTGCCACGCGATACATGATGTGGGATATTAGAAGCAAGGCGAAGAAACATTCAGGCGACCACTCGATATCACACGCCTGCTCATCTTCGCAGGTGGGTCCCAAACAATGCCTGCGATACCATGCCGAGGCCTCATTGCCCCGCAGCCTGTTTCATCCACTTCGTGGAACAGCAGGATATCCGCACAGCTGTCACATTTTAGGTCAAGGCCAGTGTCATGTGGTGACAGCCCGATTGCTGCACGAGCGCGTGTCGAGACACATTCATACAAAAGTTCAGCATGCGCCTGGGTTCCAGCTTGATAGATTCCCACCCCCAGGCAAGCTAACAACAGCGGGTCCTCGGAACCCCATGGCGTGAACGCGTTGCCAACATTGTTGATTCCGATCACAGCGTCCAACTTATGCTTGTCAATCATGTCCACTACGGGCAAAGTCCCTCGCGGTTGATCTGCACTACCTCGGCTCGGAGGAGAAGCCATGTATAGATCACTCGTGGGCAGCCCAACGAAACTAACAGGGAGATCATGGTCCTTAATTTCTTTCGCAAGCCTCGTCCACTCGTCATGGGTGAACAGGGTGAGCCGCGTACAATGCCCTAGCATAACCCGCTTGGGCGTCGACTGGGCTGACCAGCCCTTTTCTCTGAGTGTCCGCAGGACAAACCATACTAGGGCCTCTGTTGCCGGGTCGAGGTTGTAATCCAGGTGAAAGTCCACGTGTTTGCCGTATTCCAGACCGCGTTCAACGGCCCATTCGATGTTCCGCTTCGCAGCTTCAACGGTCGATTCCACATACGGTGTTGTACCAATCACATCCACCTGCGGCCGTCGGATTGCCTCTTCCATCAGCCGTCGGTTCTCCTCGCCATGCTCGCCCGAGAATATGGGATCTTGTGCGAAGCTCACTAGCTGGACCGTACAGGCGTTCTTCCATGTCTCCTTGAGAGTGGCGCCGGCGTCCAGGCAAGTGAACCCGACCGTCTGGTCCACTTCCACAAACGCGCGCATCGCCGTGACCCCCGCGGTGACAGCCCCCGCCAGGAGCCATTCCCCACGCTTCAGAAGATCGGCCTGGGTGAACTGTCGCTTGGCTTGGGTGGTGAAGGATAGCGCTTCGGCAAACGAGCCACTGGAGGGGAGGAGATGCGCATACTCGCGCGCGTTGTGGATGTAGGCCTTGTCGAGGTGGATGTGCGGGTGCGTCAATGCGGGGAGGGCGAGAGGTGCGCGGGAAGCTGCGGTATCGGACTCGCCCTTGTGCGGGGTGATCGAATGGATAATGCCTTGGTCGTTGTCAATGGATATGTCCCAGGTTGAGTCTGATCCGGGTAGACGGACGTTCTCGATCATTGGCACCGGCTTCAGAGTTGGTGGTGGCATGGTGTAGGGTGGGTGGGTGAGGAGCGAGGATCGAAATAGTTACAATGTACGGAGTATATTCTTGAGTGACTGTTGCGGCAAGTCGCAGGATGGCTGTGTAGACTACCTCGGTTATAGAAATTCACGTTCACACTTGAAGACAAGTCAACTGCCCGACAAAGACTCGATATTGTCTTGCGAATAAGATTCTCGTCTCACACTGAGAACAATATGTAGTAGTTAGCTTGCGATTGTCAAACAATCCACAACCCAAGAGCAGCAGCCCCACCAGCCCACCCGCCAGCTTATCGTCCCCCGATTCCAGTTGCAGCGCACCCGGGCCAGTTCTCCTACCTTCTTCTTCGGGGGCTTGCTACATTTCCTCACAACTACAATTGCGCGCGTCGCAGCCACAGCCAGCGGACAGAACCTGCTCAGCTGTACATCAAGGTACTGTACCTTCACATAGCTGCAGTGCTGTATCCCTAAGGTACTCCCAATAGACCCATGGCAGTTGTCCACAAAGCTAACCCAACCAATCAAGCATCCCAGCCCCAGCCCTCGGCGCTTCCACCATCATCCATCTCATCTCAGCAATCGATCATGAACACGCCGCGCTAACAAGACTACTTACTTCCTCCCTTAAACCCTTCCCCAGCAACCCATCACCCAAACCACCTAATCCAAAGAAAAATTCTCACCCAACAATGTCCGACCCCAAACCACAACCCCAACCACCACGCCGTATCCTAACAGCCCCCAACCCCAACCCCAACCCCAAATCCAAGATCCCTCCCCCCTCCTCCGACCAAAATACCCAAGCCCGTCCGCACGCGATAACCCTGGACCTCCTCCTCACCGTGCTCTCGCGCACGCTCTTCCACCCCTTCATCGCCTGGATCCTCGTGCTCTGCCTCCGCGCCCAAGCCACGCCCTACACCGCGCCGGCGTTCCTCGTCGCCACGGGGTACGCGATATTCCTTTCCGCTCTGAATGTGTTGCAGAGCGTGAACGACCGGTTCGCGTACGGGGAGCCCCGGCGCGTGGATCTGAGTGAGGAGGTGGTTGTGGTCACGGGCGGGGCGAGCGGGTTGGGGTTGTTGATTGCGAGGATCTATGGGTTGAGGGGGGTGAGTGTGGCGGTGTTGGATGTGAAGGGGGCGGAGGAGATGGAGGGAATGATGGAGGGGATGGATGATGCCGTGGGGTATTATCGGTGTGATGTTGGGAATCGCGGGGCGTTGGAGGAGACGGTGCGGAGGGTGGAGATGGAGGTATGCTTTTTTTTTTTTTCTCTTTTTCTTCCTACGAATGAATGTGTGGAAAGGGGGTGAGGTTGGGCTATACATGCTCTACGAGGGTGGTACTGGTTTTGCTGACATGTTGATTCTGGTTTTTTTTCTTTCTTGTTTTCTAGCTGGGAACTCCGACAGTACTGGTTCATTGTGCGGCCGCTCGTATCAACGGTCAATCGCTCCGAGATGTCCCCGCGGAAGCGTTCCAGAAAACTATCCGGACCAACTTGCTCGCGGCCTTCCATGCCTACCAGGTCTTCCTGCCGCGGATGCTGTCCGCCGCCACGGGCGGGACCATCGTCACCGTCAGTTCGGTTCTGGGCCAGCTGTGCGCGGCAGGGCTGGCGGACTACTCGGCCAGTAAAGCCGGGCTGAGCGCCGTGCATCGCACGCTGGAAGCGGAGCTCCGCGCGTCCGGTGACGATGACAAGGTGAAGATGATCCTCGTGGAGCCCGGGCAGATCTCCACGCCGCTTTTCCAATCGGTCCAGACGCCCAACCGCTTCTTTGCGCCCGTCCTCGAGCCGGTCCACGTCGCGCAGGAGATCGTGTCCGCGATCGACAGCGGGAGAGGCGCTGTGATCCGACTGCCCACCTTTGCGATGCTGGTCAACTGGTATGCCGTGATGCCGGCAGGCCTGCAACGCTTGGCGCGGTATATGAGTGGGATCGACAGCGCCGTCGCGCAAGCCTCCTTGTCTCAGAAGAACCCGCCAGCCACCAGCGCGCCGCTGACTGAACAACCACAACAGCAGTGCGAGCCGCTTTCCGTAGACAAAGACTGATGTAATGATGGGGCGGAGGGATCGGACAGTCATAGACGAATATTTCAAGGATGTGGAACCAGCCACGCGATGTATATAATCAAGACAGATTCTTCCACTCAGGCGAGAGCGCAGAGCATAAGACTGCCCAGACAATGTCCCAAGGCGAGCAAGGACCCAGGGGAAAGCGCAAGATATATGATGGAGCCCGATCTACTGCTCCCGGGCTAGGATCATCTTCTCGCGCTCGCTCTGTCTCTTCTTCAGGTTCTCCTTCTTGGTGTGCTTCCGGACGTTCTCCTCGCGTCTCTTGATCGCGTTCAATTCCTCTCTCTTGATCTCGCGGGCCTTCTTGATCGGCTTGGGGACGTGGCGCTGGCGCCTGATTCTCTTGATCTCGGGCATGTGCTGGTATCTCTGGATCAAAGCTTGGTCGTACTCGAGCTTGGTTCGCTGACGGGCACTCTTAATGCCACTGCGATCGGAAGCATTGGCGCGCCACAGGCGAACGTTTCCGTCGTCGGAGCCCGACAGGATGTACTTGTTGTCGGGGGTGAACTTGGCAGAGAAGACACTGCACGAAGATGTTAGTGAAAAGTGTCAAAAGAACCAAGACATGGTGTATGTGTTAACGTACCGTTGCATGCGCTGTGTGTGGTAGATGTCGCGAGAGTGGCCGGTGGCCCGGTTCCACAAGCGCACCGTCTTGTCGTAGGAGGCCGTGACCAGCTCCTGACCAGTCGGGCTGAAATCCACATCCATCACAGCAGCAACGTGATCCTTGAGAACGTTCAACGCGCGGTCCATCTTCCTCATGTCGAAGAGGTAGACGTTGTGGTCCTCATTCGCCACGGCAAAGTTGAACGCTTCCATTGGGTTCCAAGAAATCGCGTTCGACGCCAGGCGGAGAGTCATCTTCGTGAGGGGCGACGAGGTGCGCAGGTCGTACATGATGATAGAGCGGTCGATACCGGTAGAGCCGATAATGGAGGTTTCTGTCTGGTTGAAGGCAATCGAGGTGATCGTGTCCACGTTCGTAGGCCAGTGAAGGGTCTGAGACGGCGTGGAGGAGGGGCGAGAGAGATCGTAGATCGAGATTTGGGACGACGCGGCAGCGAAGTGGGGGAGATCACGGTGATGCGTGACGGAAGTGAAGGCACCCTGCCCAAGATAGGTGGCTAGTGGCGGGGCCTCGGAGGAAGAGTTATATGGGTCGAAGAGTTTGACGGTCTTGTCGCTGGCGCAAGAAAGCAGCTTCCGGTCGGGGGTCCAGCATACGCCCTTGACAATATTGTCATGCGCCTGAGTCTCCCACACTTCTCCCTGCGTAGTCAAATCCCAGACCTTGATCACACCATCACCGCTGCCACTGGCGAACCGTTCCAGAGAGCCTGGATCCTTGGCCAATGTGTACACACCGTCCACATGACCGTCGCCCAACTGGCCCAAGAATGGTGCAGCGAACAGACGCTCTAGCTTGGTAGCATTCAGAGCGCGAGTGTATTCTCGGGCGCGCTCAAAAGGATGCTGTGCCGGGTCGAGGTTTCGAGGCTGTCGAACGACAGCACTTCCCGGAGCCTGCTGAGAGGAAGTGGGACGAGAAAGAGCTTTGATTTTCTGTAGGGTGTATGTTAGTGACTGTCCGATTGAGAGATATAGCAATCCAAACCAGGAATACTCACCATGGCGCTCTCACAAATTCCTTGGGACCGAAACGTGAAAAAGAGAAATTCAAGTCGGACATAAAATTTCTGGGAATCTTTTTTCCATCGGCGGGCGGGTTAAGGCCGATTGTGGTTGGCTCGCCAAGCCGCGGGCGGTGAGAGCGGCAGCTGCAGCTCGGCCTGCGAGTGACGATAGCCAAACCTGTAAGCTTCCTGTCCTCCATCGTCCACTATACCCTCCTCATCTCATCTCCCATCGGCTTCTTAGCCTTCCTCACACATTGCGCTGATAGATACCTACTCATTGGCTCTACCTTGTCACTACTTGTTCCGACCTTCGCCTTTTCTTACCCACCACAGCACCGTCTTCAGCCATGGCGCCCTCTCCGACAACTGCTGGGCGGATAGAGGAAGCCCGGATTCTTGCAAAGAACGACCCTGCCAAAGCTGAAAGCACCCTCAAGGAGATTCTCTCTAAAGGTCCCGGCTCGACCGAGGCCTCGTCGCGGGATTATGAAAATGCCCTGGTCTCGCTGGGAGAGGTCTACCGGGACCAGAAGAAGCCGCAGGAGATTGCCGAACTGATCAAGACAAGCCGTGATTCCTTCTCTTCATTCGCCAAGGCCAAGACAGCCAAGCTGGGTAAGATAATACCTTCGGGTTGAATATGCGTGCACGAAGAGCTGACGGTTGTTGTTCATCTCAAAAGTCCGCCAGCTGCTGGATCTGTTCAGTGAGATCCCGAACACCCTCGATATTCAAGTTGCCGTCATCAAGTCCTGTATCGACTGGGCCGTCGCAGAGCGGCGATCATTCCTTCGCCAGAACCTTGAAACCCGGCTGGTGGCCATTTATATGCAGAAACAAACCTACTACGATGCTCTCACTCTCATCAACTCTCTTCTCCGCGAGCTGAAGCGCTTGGACGACAAGCTCATGCTGGTCGAAGTACAGCTGCTGGAGTCGCGTGTCTATCATGCATTGGGCAACCAGGCCAAGGCACGTGCTGCCCTGACGGCTGCCCGTACATCTGCCGCCTCGGTCTACACTCCTCCCAACCTGCAAGCCGGCCTGGACATGCAGAGCGGTATGCTCCATGCAGAAGATAAGGACTTCAACACATCGTTTTCGTACTTCATCGAGGCGCTGGAGGGTTACAGCTCTCTCGACGAGGGCGAGAAGGCAACAGCTGCTCTTCAGTACATGTTGCTGTGCAAGATTATGTTGAACTTGGTGGATGATGTCACGAACTTGCTGGGATCTAAGCAGGCTCAGAAGTATGCTAGCCCGCGATTGGAGGCCATGAAGGCCGTCGCACGTGCTCACGCGGACCGGTCCCTCGAGCAGTACGAGAAGGCTTTGTCGGACTACAGATTTGAGTTGGGTAGTGATGCGTTCATCCGCAACCACCTTCGCAGATTGTACGATGCCATGTTGGAGCAGAATCTCATCAAGGTCATCGAACCCTTCAGCCGAGTTGAGCTCGACCACATTGCCAAGATGGTGGGACTGGACACGCAGCAGGTGGAGAGGAAGCTTTCACAGATGATCTTGGACAAGGTTATCATTGGAGTGTTAGATCAAGGAGCCGGATGTCTGATTGTCTTCGACGAGACGGAGCGTGATCAGGCATATGATGCTGCTCTAGAAACCATTGCCAAGCTGAGCAATGTGGTGGAGGAGCTGTACACTAATCAAGCATCGCTGCTGGAGTAGACTCAGGTAGAGGCTTATTGATTTATGTTCGAGCAATGATATAGTACTACAAATACCTGATGACAAGGCAGTCATTCATCGATGTGTTGTTTGTTTGTAGTTGAGTTGTTGAAGTGGTGGTGGTGGTGGTTGATGTTGCTAGAAAGCATCCGAAACGGGTAAAGCGTGACCGCGGCGAAAGAATCGCGACTGACTCTCCAAATCTCCAACTTCTCCTCTGTCTATCCCGCTCAGAACATCCACTTCATCTCGTCCGCGCGCCTTCACCTTCCATCGCCACAGGGCTTTCGCGTCAACCATTTCCCTCCCCCCCTCAGACCCCACCCCAGCTTTACCCTTGCAGACGTTTCAGCGCAGATGCCACCAGCCATGAACGCTCCGATCCCTCCCAATTATGGGCGTGGGTTCCCACCACAGGCCGCCCAACGGTCTCCTGCCACGCCTCGTCGCGGCCCTCAAGCACAAGGTTCGTCCTGCCATGTCTTTTCTAACCTTATAGCCCCATTTTGCTCCAATGCTTCCATTAAGACATGCATTCTAACTCTGTATAGTACCAATGCCTGCTGCTCCCATGGCTCAACACGGCGTTCCCCCTCAACTCCTTCCTCAACAACATCGCAATATGATGGCCGCCAACGCAGCCAACGAGGCCGCGCTCCGCCGCAGTCGCAAACCCACAGACAAGAACATTCCAGAGGGAATCGAAGAAGTGGTCATTGGCGAAGGTGTTCAGCAATACAAAAGCCTTCGCGACCTCGAGAAACGGCTGGACGCGGCCATCGTGCGCAAGAGACTCGACATTCAAGATTCCATCAGCAAGACCGTGAAGAAATACCGCACCATGCGCATTTGGATATCCAACACGGTCGAGAACCAACCGTGGCAGAATGCCTCGGGCCAGAACGGTGCCAGCAATCCCGGGTCCGGGCGGTATAAGGTACGCATCGAGGGACGTCTGCTGGATGACGACAGCGACCCGACGGCTCCGGAGGACAGCGACGAGGAGCAGGCTGGTGCAGACGACTCCGCCGATGCGAACGGCGACGCAATGGAGCAGGATGGCCCCGGGGCTCCGAAGCCCAAGACAAAGCCCGCAGCGTCAAACAAGCGGTCTCAGCAGCGCTTCTCGCATTTCTTCAAATCCATCACGATCGATTTCGACAGACCGGCCACCACGAACCCGGAAGACGTCAAGCCTATCACCTGGAACAAGCCGCAATTACCCCCCAACGCCGTTACGCTCCCACCCACCGCAGACTTCGATTCCATTCAGTTCTCCCGCGCGTCGCAGGAGAACCTCAACGTGACGGTCAGTCTGGTGCGTGACGAGACGCCAGAGCGATATAAGCTGAGCAAGGAGCTGGCGGAGGTGCTGGATGTGGAGGAGGAAACTCGCAGTGGGATTGTTCTTGGCATATGGGATTACATCCGCGCCATGGGACTGCAGGAGGATGAAGAGAAGCGGCTGGTACGCTGTGACCACCGCCTACGATCGGTATGTTCCCTCTTCTCCTTTCATGTTCAGGCCCCACACAACCCTACCTCTTCCCCATGCCATCAGCTCCCAATACTAAACCATACTTTCCCATCCAGATCTTCGGTCGGGACCAAATGTTCTTCCCCCAGATTCCCGAAAGCATC